AAAAGGCACAAATAATAATCAAACTTTGCAGTTGGTTATAAAAAATAAAAAATTAAGGGTCGTTAAAAAAAATTCTAAATAAATATATTTTTTGTATATTAGAAAATATGCACATTTGTATGTATATCGTACATTTCTTTCTTTCTGGCATTTCCTCTATTAAGTTTCACTTCTTCCGCGCGTAGGGACAACACGCACTGAGTTTTTCTCGCTCCGAAACAGAATTGTTTTCTTACAAGATTACGCAAAAAAGCTATAAATTTCTTAGTCGTTCGTTTTTAGGTATGCCACTTTACGAATTTCGAAAGTTCAAAAATAGGATTTGTAGGACGATTTGTAGCAAAATCAGGAATATAGAGCTGTCAAACTATCGATAGTCCAGTCCATCGATGTTTTACGATAGTCTCAAGGATGACTATCGATACTATCGATAGTATCGACCCATTTATATGTTTTTCTAAATCCACTTATTTTTCTTTATCTTGCTTTTATAAAGTTGTTTATTTTAGCGCCTCACGGTTGCATTTTAGTATCGAGAAATATTGCTAGAAATTCATTCACCGTGTAGACAGTCAAAAGGCGATTTCAGAAGTTTTCCCAGCAATTCGCCTTTCGGAAATAAAAAACTTTCTTTCGAGAAACACTTTATATGCAAGGTGTCACTGCTCATGAAACTGCTTTCTGAAATTTCTCAATTTCACAGTCTTTTGAAATATACTGCATTGCCACGTCTGACACGCTCTTAAGACGGCAATGTAACCTCTGCCATTTCCATGTTTACAAGTCTATTCTGCACGTTACCGAAGGTTTAAAGCACGAAATGACCTTCAACCTTCATCGTGGTCAAATGCTGTATGCCTCCGTATCAACGAAAAAAAACAAAAATTTTTTAACGTTTATTTGGCCAAATTCATGTTTGGCCGTAATTACAAAAATTTGGACACGGATCCATTAAAAAGTTTCCTTAAAATGGCTGGGAAACTCTATGATCCAACTCATGTGAAAGCTGCTGAAAAGGAGAAAATTGGGCGAGCTGGACGCCAAAGCGGACAGCCTGAATAAGGCCTTCGGAAAAGCCCTTAAGAAGGCTTGTCCTCTGAGGTATGGCAAGAAAGCGCGCACACCTTGGCTAAGGAAGCAAAGGAAAGATAATCCTTCAACGAATGCTACAGGAATAAGGTATGGGACCTATACAGAGAGAACCTAAAGAAATACCAAAAAGCGATACGGGACGCCAATGAGCTTACTGGAGGGCATTTTGCGAATCCATCGTGGATACCAAGAAATCTGCGAGATTAAGCAAAATCCTTGCCAAAGGGCACTCACAGCCAATATACATAAAAAGGTCAGATGGTTCATGGACCGAATCGGCTGGAGAGTCGCTGGATATCCTTTGAATACACATTTTCCAGGGTGCAAAATCGATGTAGTGGAAACCGATGCCCCAGACCACATACCAACCCTCTTCGAGGATCTCTTGGAGGAGCTACTGGAGAGGGAAAAGATAAAATTTGCTGTCTTCAGCTTATCACCCTATAATTAACCGGGTATAGACGGAATACTACCAGATATGCTTTAGAAAGCTTCTGAGATGGTCATTCCAGTCCTAGAAACAATTTTTAGAGGGTGTCTAGTCCTGAACCACGTTCCATTAAGGTGGAGGAAGATTAAAGTAATTTTTATTCCTAAAGCGGGCAAGCGGTGTCATGCCAATGCTGAAGATTTCCGACCAATAAGCCTAATATCATTTGTGCTCAAGACGTTTGAGAGGCTGTTGGATTTGTATGTTAGGGACAAGACGTCCAATTTATCATGCTCTCAACAAGCGTACTTGAAAGGGAAGTCAACGGAGACTGCCTTACATGAAGTGGTACATATAATTGAGAGTTCGCTCTACTATAAACAATTTACAATGGCGTGCTATAGACATCGAGGGGCCTTTAATAATGTGAGTGTAAATTGCATCCATGAGGCACTTATGGAAACAAGGATTGATCAGTGTGTCCGGGCTTGGATAGTGTCTCTTCTACTAAGGAGTAGAGTAATACATGACGAATCGGGGTACCAAAGCAGGGCCGTATATGCAGTGAGTGGCACCCCACAGGGAGGAGTGCTATCACCGTTACTATGGCTCATGGTCTTAAACAAACTACTGGTACTCAGAGAATCAAAGCGGTGGCTTACGCCGACGATGCAGCGATACTGGTATCTGGTCAGTTTCCTTCGGTCATGTTCTGTTAGCGTAAACCCTGAGAAAACTGACTTTATGCTTTTCACAAATAAAACAAAATTACCTAATTTTAATAGACCAACGTTCCGAGGAATGGAACTGGATCTGTCAAACAAGGTGAAATGCCTTGGAGTTATTCTGGATCACAAACTTAACTGGTAACCAAACATTGAGGAACTTGCTAGGAAGGCCACGGGTGCTCTTTATGCAACCAAGAGAAAGTTGGGCAACAGACGGGGTTTGAAACCAAGAATTGTGCACTGGATGTACACGGCTTTAGTCCGACCCATAATCTCTTACGGGGCGCTGGTCTGGTGGCCAGCCCTTACTAAGGATTGCGCAGTTAAAAAGCTAGGGGGAATTCACAGTTCAGCAGCCGCTAGCGTAACAGGTGCAATGAGATCCTGTCCGAAGGACGTTTTGTACGTCCTTCTTGACTTATTACGCATAGATACCTTTCAAATTCAGCTGCTAACAGCGCCATCAGACTGCGTGCCCTGGGGCTCTGGAAGGAAAAACTATTCGGGTTCGGTTCGCTGCCCACTGACTATATCCTGTCGAAGACCTGGGTTCACCATAAATCCCGAGCGAAATTCCCAAGCTACAGTGACTGGAATGCGGAAAATTTCGGGTTCTTGCAGGGCTTAAATGTCTTTACGGATGGGTCAAAGATGGAATCCGGAGTTGGTGCTGGGGTTTTCATTGAGCAATATAACCTAAAATTATCCTTCCGCCTAGCAGACTATGCAAGCGTTTTCCAGGCCGAAGCGTTTGCTATTAAGGAGACAGTAAGGTACATCAAAGAGAATGTACACGCGAGAACGCAAGTGAACATCCTCTCGAATAGCCAAGCGGCTATTCAGGCACTTTCTTCTAACTCTGTTAGATCTCAGCTAGTGGATAAATGGCAGAGTGGCAGAGGATGGACTGCACAGCATCTTAAAGAGTTTCCCGGCAGTTCTGGGTGTCCTACGACCCACTCAAAACCAAAGCTCTCTTAGGAATGAGCAAAACAAATGCCTACAAAGTGACTGCAGTGTGGACAGGCGTACATGCCAAAAGGATAGTACTGCCCTTCAATAAGTTCTGTCGCAGCTGCGAGGACCCGGGCATAAAAGAGACAGTCAAACACTTGCTGTGCGAGTGTCCAGCCCTAGCAAGGATGAGGCTAAAGACACTCGGCAAACCATTCCGGCAGAATATTTCAGAGTGTAACCCACTAAAACCAACCAACCAAGCGTATACTCCATAAGCGCGGCCGAAGGCCGCCTACGCAGAAAGACTTTCTGTGCTAAAATACTTCGGCCTCCTTTTTTCCCGCAACACAGAAAGGAGAATTCTACTTAGTAAGGGTTATAATCCATAAGTGCGACCGATGGCCGCCTAAGCAGAGAGAAGCTCTGCGCAAAAATACTTCGGCCCCTTTTTTCCGGCTACACAGAAAGGAGAATTTTACTTAGGGAGGTTTATTATCAAGGAATGAAACCGATTCAAAATAACGTTCCGGGGTCGGTTTCGGTTTTGCATCGTGTTACGTTTTCGGGTTAGGTTTCGCTCTTCAAAAGTTGTTTCAGTTTCGGTTTCGTTCCGGTTTCGGTTTTGGCATAAAAAAATGAAAACAAGTTTGACAAAAGTTCATCACCAGATACACAGCAACAACGTCATCACCAGATTCACTTAAATTTTTCCTTTTTGCGTGTAAAATTGAAGATGTATGAAACCTAAAATATAATTGCTATTTTCGTCAAATATTTTATATATTTATATATATTTAAATATAATTGTTATTTTCGTCTAATATTTATTAAATAATTATGAAACTTTATCCACCCATTGATTTATGTGCGCTTTACAATTATACATGTGAAAATGAAAATGAAAATGACTTCTTCCAAATAACTAATAATAATTAGGCATCTTTTTAGGAGCTTTTTGCGAAGAACCTTTGCCAAAATTACTACTTAACAAGAATTTNTTAAACTGACCAGAAGTTCTTTTTTTTAATTAGAAATACATACATGCTTTGACTAAAGATTCGGATTCTGTATATAAAAACGCGTAACTGTCGTTTGAAACTTTTTTCTCGGAAGTGCCTTTTCCAACCTCTACATGACTTTCAAACTTCAATACTTCCTAGCTTGCTTAAACGAGTGAAAATATTTTTATTGGAAAACGAAGACTACTAATTCGGGGATTCTCTATCTTTTAGTCGTATTACCGACTTCCGGTTTCGACCGCAAGTAGGTTACACAGACCGAAAGTACATTATTTTAATAGGAAGTCCATTCCAGAAAAAAGTTTCCAACAAAAGATATGTATGCATTTTTGTTGGCAGAGCCCGAATAAATCAGTCCAACCAAAATCGGAAGTCGGTAATACGACCAAGAGATAAAGCATTCCCGACTTGTTGATTCATATTTTTTCGTTTTCCATTTTAGAAGTCCAGGACGAGTTTAAGTGCGAAGGTCATTTAGTCGTTGAAAAAGGCATATCCGAGAAAAAGGTTTCAAACTAAAGCTTCTTATTTTTATCCTCAGAATCCGATCCAGTAATAAAAACATGAATGTCTAATTTAAAAAAGGAACTTCCCTTCACAACAAGGTGAGCATTTCCAATTTGTTATGACATATTTTTGCGTTTTCCATTAAAAAACATTTCTCCACATTTTATATGGGGTGACGGGTGGTCTAGGAAACCCTGTATACATATGTGCATACATACATACATATGACACGGTATCATATTTGTTAAGGCTCTCTTCATTACTTACTCAAAAACTCGATCTAGTTGATTGGCTTCTGACGTGCCCGGAAAAAGGGCTTTGCGCGCAAACATTTCTGCTATAATACAAGCAACACTCCAAATATCAACTGAACTATTATAAGATTGTGCCAACAAAACTTCGGGAGCACGGTACCAAAGTGTCACCACTACGGAAGTTAATTTCATTTCGAAATCGTACGTTTTCGCCAAGCCAAAATCTGCAATTTTTAAGTGACCTTGCGACGATATCAGTAAATTTTGTGGCTTTAAGTCTCGGTGAATGATTCGATGAGAGTGTAGAAAATCTACTCCAGTTAAGAGCTCCCGTGACAAACGCTAGAAGAAAGAAAAAACAGCTAAGTTAATTTTAATTTCAAAAGCAACTTTTTTAAATTAATAAAGGAAGATGCACGAATGATTCAATAACACTGAAAAATTTCTAAAATTTTGAAATTACACAAAAAACGCCGAAACACGTGAGCTTAATTTTGAGACGCAGATTCCGGACCTGTATCCAGTTTTTTTATATCAGGTAATTTTCCAAAGATATTTTCATTTTAATTTGCATTGGTAATAAAAAATGCTAACTTCAACAGAGAAAAAAAACAGATGTTTAGTAATTTTTTTTTTGTTTTTACTATAGTCTGTTTAACAAAAAATCAACCTACTAACGAAAAAATCAAGCTACTAACGAAGAAAATCCAAGGATAAAAAAAGTTGTGAATGTTCGGAGCAGGAAAGAATGTTACTCATACGTACGGCGACCATCCGTACTGTTTTGTGCGTGGCAGTCCTCTTTTTTTACCTCCCTTTTATTAGCTCGGGATGTAACTATGTAATATTGATGCGCCTAAAAGATTCAGCGATTTCTATTCTCAAGTTACATACCTGATGGCAGTACGAATGGAAATTATAATAGCGGGGTTTTGGTTTTTTTTAAACTATAATTTTATTTAGTGAGTTGTTCTGCTAATTTTACATGACTACATGATAGTGATCCTCGATCAACTTTGCGTGAGGATACGTGGTTCTTATGGATTTCCGGAAGGTGGACCAGGGACCAATATATTTTTGTTGTTCTGTAGCTCAGCTCCGATTTGCTTGAAATTTCGAATTAATATCTTTACTAATTATATAAAGAGAAGTGCCTTCTTTTTACAAAAGGTGAACTCTCGCACGCTTATACCGATTTTTTGAAATTTTGGACACCCACTGCAGACTTTCCAAGGATGTTTATAGGCTGATAATAATTTCGATATATCAAGGGAGTGTGGCATCTCCCATCCAAATCGAATTTTTCATACCACGCATCTCTGGAAGTATTTGTGGTAGAGTCCTGAAACTTGAAAAGGGGCGAGGCGCCTTCCAGACATACTGAAACTTTTACCTATCTGTAAATTCATAAATAATTCTTCGATACGTTTGTTTGTGAGTGAACTCCTCCTAAACGATTTTGATAACTTTTTTTTTTATGTGTTTGAGTGGGTCCCTGTTGATAATAATAGGGTCAGTACTATTGCAAAAAAAGAACTGCAAGGTGGCGCTGGAGTNGTTTGTTTGTGAGTGAACTCTTCCTAAACGATTTTGATAACTTTTTTTTTATGTGTTTGAGTGGGTCCCTGTTGATAATAATAGGGTCAGTACTATTGCAAAAAAAGAACTGCAAGGTGGCGCTGGAGGCGATTTATTTGTAAATATCGCCAAGTGAAGTCATTCGGAAACAGACAATTCTTAATAAATACCTACTAATACAATTGTAAGATGATTGTTTTTTGAGGCCAGTGTTAAAATTTCCTATTGATGAAGGCGTGAAGTACGCCGAAACGCGTAGGAGGAAGAGAAAGCTCTACCAATGACCCAATAGGAAATTTTAACACTGGCCTCAAAACACAATCAACTTAATTTATTTGGAGAGCAACTACCGATACAACCAGGAAACAAAGCATAAATTACACAACACGAAACACTTTTTCGAACACATTAGGTTTAAATATGACGAGGTTACTTGCTACACCATAAAACTGTACAACAAAAACTATAAAAAATTAGCTAAACAAGAACAAAGACTAAAATTTCTACTAAAATGCAAGAATTTTGGAATAACAACACCACACTTAACGGATAAATTATGGAGAATAAAACATGGGTTCCAATTGGACATTACGAAAAAAGAGTTAGAAAAAATTGAAGAACAGTTTATACTGAAAATCTTAAATTTGGAAATAAAAAAAGCTAACATGCAAATAAAATTAGTCCGAAAAAGTATAGAACACATCAAAACAAATCTACATAGGAGGAGTCTCATTTCATGCTAGTAACAGAAAAACTGANAGTTTATACTGAAAATCTTAAATTTGGAAATAAAAAAAGCTAACATGCAATTTTAGTCCGAAAAAGTATAGAACACATCAAAACAAATCTACATAAGAAGCTTGAGGAGTCTCATTTCATGCTAGTAACAGAAAAACCGGAACAATTTAAAACAAATATAGCACGTCACACCGAAAACAGTCTCAATGAAAAATTACAAAGCCATCTAAAAAAATAATTTTACAACATACGGGTTTATAATCAATGAAGATTGGTTTATAAATAAAACCAGCATCCCAATTCCAAGAGAATCTCGATGGCTTCTTTCCTTAGGGAAAAAGTTTGCGCTGCCTATGACACGGAACAATTTCTCGCCGGTTCACCTGATTGCGGAATTAGAGCCGGGAATTCAGACTTTAGAGGAAGCAGAGAAAAAGATACTGCAAGATTCAATATCGTCACTAGAGACGAATGAAGGCGCGCCAAAAACTCTTTACGGAATGTACATACTATTACAACCGCAAACATAGTTGACCGCGAAAAAAAGTATACGCGTCCTTCTTCGACGTCAAATATTTAAACGCGTCTTTCTTTGCCGTCAACTATGTTAAGAGTCTTTCTTCGCTGAAGTTTTGTTATGCGCCTTTTTTCACGGTAAACTTTTGAGCTCGCGCCTTAATTCGTGTCTAGTGACGATATAGCCACCAGCATTAACGCATTCAAAAATAAATTTAAAAACNAAGTTTTGTTATGCGCCTTTTTTCACGGTAAACTTTTGAGCTCGCGCCTTTATTCGTGTCTAGTGACGATATAGCCACCAGCATTAACGCATTCAAAAATAAATTTAAAAACAATAAAAAAGAAAAATGTATACTCAGAATATTTGAAGACACAAAACGGTTTATAAAACAACATACGGACTCTATAGTAATTACAAATGCGGATAAGGGAAATAAAACGGGGATGATGAAAATGAAAGATCTATTGAACGACATATATACATACAAAACGATACAAATGGACCCAACATAAAAAGTGCTGAAAAGAAACAACGCGATAGTAAATGACGTATACAAACAGAAAAACATGGACAATTATCAGCACCTAGACTATATGGACTTCCGAAAGTACACAAGGAAAATACACCCTTGAGACCTATTTCTGCTTCATCCAATGTGCCCTGTTACAGCCTTTCAAAGGTCATTGGACAAATTCTTACCACTCTCACAAGAAAGCAGTTCTTAACGATGTTAGAATTCTGTCTATGCGACAATAACTATTTTTTTATGATATATTACCAACAAATACACGGAATGCCGATGGGAAACCCGTTATCGCCCACTGTAGCTGACATTGTTCTGGACAAAACNAGTACACAAGGAAAATACACCCTTGAGACCTATTTCTGCTTCATCCAATGTGCCCTGTTACAGCCTTTCAAAGGTCATTGGACAAATTCTTACCACTCTCACAAGAAAGCAGTTCTTAACGATGTTAGAATTCTGTCTATGCGACAATAACTATTTTTTTATGATATATTACCAACAAATACACGGAATGCCGATGGGAAACCCGTTATCGCCCACTGTAGCTGACATTGTTCTGGATAAAACACTTGACGACAGCATCGCTGAATTGAAATCTAAGGACATATGTATCAAATACATCAATAAGTATGTAGATGATATCGAGCCCTAAGCGCCAAAATAACGTAAGCGCCATTTTTTCAAAATTTTCTTTTCGATGCCGAAATACATCTAGATGCCCGAGGAATATTTCTGCATTAAAAATAAAATTTTGAAAAAAATGTCGCTTACGTTATTTTGGTGGTTAGGGCTCGATATATCCGCGATCGTAAAAAGAAATGACGTAAAAGATATTTTAAATGTGTTAAATTCCCAACACAATAAAATCCAATTCACCACCGAGTTAGAAGAGGGAAACAAATTAGCCTTCTTAGATTTCGAAATTCACCACTCAAATAATAAAATAGTAACAAATTGGTAGTCGAAATCTATAGCATCTTCGAGAATGATAAATTACCCTCGAACCATCTATGGGCACAAAAGAAGATTACGGCAACAAACCTGATCAACAAAATCTACTCCTTAAGTGACCAGGAGTTCAGAAAAAGTAACATGCAGAAAATATTAAATATACTGCACAAGAACGGGTACACAAATAAAACTATTGGGATACTAATGGCAACAACAATTAGAAAACTAAAATCAGCGCAAACAAACAATAAGTTTTCAAACAGAAGATTTACAGGAGTCACACACATACAAGGCCTAACCGACAGCAAAACACTGCACAGAAATATTCAAAACAAGAACATAACATATGCACATAAGCCACATAGCACGCTATATAAAATATTCACCAAAACAAAAGACGAAATAAACAAACAACAACAGCATAATGTGGTCTATCAAATCCCATGCACAGGTAAAGTCAACAAAAACTGCAACAAAGTATATATAGGCACGAGTAAACGAGCCCTTGGAGTCAGAATTAGTGAACACCAAGCAGACGCAAAAAATAAGAAGACAACAGCAGCACTTGCACAGCACTTGACGAATAGCGAACATAAAGCAGATTTTGAGAACACCATAATTTTGGACGTACAAAAACGAGAAAAAACAAGATTAACTTTGGAGAGTCTGCGAATACAGGAGAGGATAAGGGACGCGATGAACTTTAAAGAGGACGTTGCCAATATAAATTGTGCGTACCGGATGGCAATACAAAATAATAAATCAGATAGGCGAAGACAGTGACGACAAATGAAAGTGTGCAGTGCAATGTTTTGCGTTTATTGTTATGTAAATAGTTATACTAATATAATATGTAAGTGCTATTGTGATAAAAAAGATGTGTATATGTATCTATATGTATATTTTTCGGCCGCTGTGGTGTAGTGGTAAGCAGTGCGCGCTCTCACTCATCAACACCTGGGTTCAAGCCCTGGTCAAAGCAACATCGCAAAAAATATAGAAAAAGGTTTTTTCTTAACAGCGGTCGTC